TGTTGATCTATATCCAACTTTAGTACTCTTAGTCCTATTATGGCAGTAGTTGACTCTTGATTGAAGTCNACAAAAAAAAAAAAAAAAAAAAAATTAATATCCCTGATGGGCTAGTTTGAAAAGCACTACTAAATTTCCAGACGTCGTCTATACGTTTTGTAGTGTTTGAATACAAGATTTTGTAGTTTAGGTTTTGAGGTTTTGCCATTTAAGATGGGCTAATTGACAAATACCTACCTAAAATTAAATTTCAAGAATGTTTCTTGCATTATTTTCAAACCATGTGGAATTGTGGGTCGCTGGATTGAAACTAAAGATTGCCTTAAACATGTGTCATTGTCTTGCGTGTTTGAAACTCCGCTAATTCGGGCTGTCCACCATCAAATAGAAAGTTCCGAGGCGCCATATTCTAGAAGCTTACGAGCAAAGTGCTCCTTCTCCGTTTTCTACATTGAAATATAACAAATAATGTGTACGACTATAAATAGTAGCAGTAATTAAGAAGAAAATAAACGAGCAATAACGCCCTCTTGATAAAACGAGAAGAGTTTATTGATCCTTTATTTTTCATTTTATCTTTCAATAGTTCATATACATTGTGATGTAGAAAAGGTGGTCGGATGGATTGAATAACGGTCGAACTGAAAAGAGAAAAATAGTAAATCGCATATTTCGCGTTCGAGCTCCAATTTGGACCCATAATAGCTTTTTGAAATGGAAACAACGACCAAGACTGAACACACCGCTATACGGTGACATATGATGGATTTCAGCCAATTCATTAATGATTCGAAAATTGATTTTAAAGTTTTAGTGCTATTTTTATCATTTAATTTATTTCAGTTTTTTATTTTTTTGAATTTTAGTTCTTTTAAACTAAGTTTTCATGTAAATCCTTATAAATAGAGGGTTAATTCTTCATTTTTTTATCATCTTACGATTAATAAAATTTCAAGATATTATCTTTCATAATTTGGTGGATTCTTTCTAGTTTCTAGACAAGTTCAGCGAACTTTTGCTTTCCATGACTGACAAATAACGTGCTATTTAATTATTTTTCCAGCAAAATAAAAAAAAAAAAGATTTAAAAACCAGAAAGTGGCACTAAATTTCCAAGAAGATGCCATTTTACCAATAAAAAATAAGTGCCTTCATGTCGCCAACCGGCATCAACAACTATTCTCTAATAAGTGAACCGCCATTAACGTATAAAAATAAGTTTAATTATTATACGTCTCTCAACTTTTATAAAATTAAATAAACGAGTTCAAAAGTAGAATTTGATTCTCAAAAGTTCATTTCGACTTTTAAAAAATCGCGTCAAACGTGCCTAAAACCAATGAATTTCTACCGGTTCGATCTTTATTTTCATTAAAAAAAATCTAGATAGGAACAAAAATTTTCTAGAAGATTTTTAATTTCGGGACACGAAAAATTCTAGAAGATTTTTAATTTCGTGATTCATTTTTCGTGTCACAAAATCAAGGCGAATGATCACTTTCCCACCTACCGACGCCTGTTAATGGCACGCCTAGTCTGAACGATTCTTTGTTAATGGGAAAAGAAATATAAAGGGTATATTTGGAGAACCTCATAATATTTTTTTAGCACATTCTTATTCTTAAACTTTAATTCATTAGTATATTTTGTCACAATGTTTTATTAAAAACACGAGGGATAAATATTTTTGTCGAATTTTTAAATTTATTTTTTTTTTCTTTTGCTCATTTACAGGTACGAGGACCTCTTAACTGATTACTTGGACAGTAAATATAATTGGGGATAATCGATTTAATTGAATGTCGAAGATAAGAATGGAACAAAAAAAAAAGAAAAGTTTAATGTATAAGTATGAAAATAAGAAAATATTAGAGACCTTCAATCCAATTAAAATATAGTGCACCCAACCTCAATAAATATTTTACCTTTTATACGCGAATTTATTAATTCATATAAATTTTTATCTCATTTTAAATATCTTAGATAATGTTCACCGTACAATTTCAATTTACATTATTTTAAAGTTGTAAAAATAATATTTTCAAATAATAAATTAAATTAGCCTATTGCATTAAGAACATACAAAAAGCACATGGAATAAATAGATTTTTTATTTTTAAAAATAATCACTCATAGTTTGCTTTTTTTTTTCGAGCCATCAGACTGGCAATAGTCATAATTGGAAACCAGAGACCAAGAAGTAAGAATGCAAAAAAGGGGAAATTGACAAAATAGCACCAACTTGTGGTTAGGGCGTTTAGGAGGGAAGGTATTATAAGTCTTTCAAAAAAAAAAAAAAAATTCTTTTCTCACCAATTTTTGACCATTATTTCTCGGTCGTCACAAATTCAATTTGTACATATTACTGATATTAGGCTATAATCGAGTACTCATGAATAGATATATAATGTCTACACATAATTAACTCGATTTCAATCGAAGTCCATTATTTTGATTTAAGAAACCTACCATTTGAACCTTTAATGAAGCTTACATTCTATGAATAATAAAAAATTATTGACCCAAAATTCATTGAGAATGTATCTTGTGGTTCCAGAAATATGACTTTTTTGTTGTAAATATTAACAGCACAATGAAGAATAACTGTAATATTTATGATATATTTATAATTATGCAAGCCAACAAAGGGACTACTCACACGTTTAAGCGGATAATTCCCGTCCAGATTAAACAGGTAATCCCCGATCCGAATACTTGAATACTCGGGGCCCGCGAGTATCATGTTTATCGAGTTTTTTTTGTCATTCCTACAAGAATATAGATGTATTCTAACCAGGATAAATATATTTATCTGAAGAGATGAATTGACAAAGGAAAATGCTTGCATCGCCATTTACAAATTCTTTTACAGATTGGTAAGGTGACAATTGAATTAAAATTATCAAAATATCTTCATCATTAAAACGGTTGTGCTTATATAATGTGGTTAATGACTAAAAGATATTAGAGGAATTTCTATTTTTTTTGTAATTTGTGCAATAGTGTTTAAACTCGAAAAAACAAAATAAATCCAAAACCTACGTCTTCTCTATATATGTATTATTTGTTAATCTGCCGTAATATATGTACATTATAACTTATAAATTTATTCACTAACATTTGATCTAACCAACCGGAACCAAATAATATAAAATTATAATAATTTCCTAAAAAAGGTTGAATTTTGATTAATAAAAAAATAATTGAAAAGCAGCCGACCACAATGTTGTTGAAGTTGATGAGATTATGTAAGTCCACTATCTAGGCATATTAAAATACTTGTTCCCACATGCAACTACTTGATAATTAAACATTGATTTTGCTACAGTGTAAACGTCCGTGTACCTGACCCCCCACCCCACAATGGAGGGCTTGCCCATTATTTTATACACCTCAGACCCCCTCATTGTGAGGGGGGCGGTGGGATCGTGTACCCGGGCATTTACACGCCCGGGTACAAATGGTTTTACCCTAAAACATTTATATTTTTATACGCGTTTTAATTTATTTTACAAAATAATTAAAATAATAACTAATCGGGGTTAGCCTGCCATTCTTTGATAGACGATAGAGTAAGCTATTTACGTTATCTCTATTATTGTTCACATATAGGAAAATTATTAATTTATCAATAAACCAATATTTATTAATTTAAAGATAATTTATATATATTTTTTTCAATTTGTACATGCATTATTTTTCTAAATGCAAATACATGCGGGACTTACAACTAGAAAAAAAAATGGGAGCGAAAAAAAAAAAAAAAAAAAA